GCTTATGGTACAAACTTAATAGAAATGAACTTTTAACATTAAAATGCACACAAAGTTGTAATGCGGATTTCTCCGATTTTGATACTGACACAAAGTTAGTTTTAAGATAGTTAAAGAATTATGTATATAAATTTGGTTAGAGTTTATGACCTGAAACATTGTTTCGGTGATACACACTTTACAACCAACTGCGGATAATCGAATACAAATCTTAAAAAAAACATTCAGGTAATTAAAAGCTTAATTACCTCAGCTCATGACGTGGGCACGTAAATTACCGGTATCTGAAATCGTAATGACTGATCTTGCTATGTCGCATCGGCGAGGTCACTAAACAAACATTGTTTTATTTGCAGGTTATAGTTTTTTAATTTCTTCTTTATACCGTAGATAACCCTAAATGTTGAGGCGATGTCATCTGTATGATGCCATCAGCTGATTTAAAGTTCAGCCAAAGCTATACTCATGTGGTGTAGTGTATCGATTAAAGGATTTTTGTTTGTTATTTTCAGACATTTAACTATCTATGCATGCATCTGTGATGTGAAGGGTTTTAACGTTTCTGTGATAGCTGATGAGAGTGGCACCATGTAATGTTACACAATTTTAACGTTTCATCTATTGAAGTTACACAATGTAACGTGACACCATTTTCAATGACACCATTACATTATTTTAACAAAATACCTAATGGAGTCCCAGTCTCAAATTTAGGACATTTAATATTCAGAGTCCAGGGACTTTTACTAACTTTCTAAGGTGATATTCACATATATATATATATATATATATATATATATATATATATATATATATATATATATATATATATATATATGTGTGTGTGTGTATGTCTACGTAGAGAGAGACTTATACTTCTTTGCTAAATACTTTGTCCTAATGTAATAAATCCATTAATTAGTTCTATACTCGAAAGCTCTGGAGAAGTTATATTTAGTACACTCGTTGAAAAGGTTTTTCACCCCGCGATCTCCCTCGAGAAATTGGGCTTTTAACTGCAGTAAATCTGGCCAACTGTCTGGTCAGACAAGATGAAATATTGCCAGTTAGGTCTGATGACTGGTGAGAACAGAGAAAAATTTGTTTTTTAGAATCCAAAATCTGGGCTACGGGTCGGGCTTAATCGATGTACAATTCTAATTTGTGAAACTAAAATAATGGTTTTCTTCGCTGGATTGCTTGTTTCCATGAGTGGAGTTTTCAATTGGTTTGTTGCTTGTTTTGTTTTGTTTGTCTTAAGGAACATTGTCGGTTTTGGTGAAGATAAGTTAGCTGGCATTCAGTAATAAGTTAACTTTGTTCAGTGAAGTTAATACTTCATTCAGGTTAAACTTTCATCAGTAAGATAAATTTAAACGTTGATCAGTGAAGATAAGTTTAGCCTTTTGTTTGCCTAAGATAAGTTTAGACTTTGTCTACTGAAGATAGTTTAGACTTGGTGTTGGTGTCGGAATACATCGTAACATAAAGTTTTCACAAGATTATTTAATTCGTTTGAGAATATGTACCTCTAGTCGAGTTGGCTGTTTTTTATTTTATTTTTTAAATTAAAAGCCTAGCAAGCGAAACAAAAAAAAACCAAGCAAGAGGGAATCATCAAATAATTACGCCCAAAAGACGAACAAGAAAAGTCTAAAGCCCAAAGTACAAAAACAAATGACCGAGTCAGATAACAACAAGCTGAGCCATAATTCTTTGACCAGATAGTGCTGTGATGCAGGATATTTAATGCTCGGTAGATTTTGTGTCATTTGAATTAACTAATTGGAATCATGCGGCAAAGTTGTTGTACTGTAAAAAAAAAAAACACCTCATAGAAACTGTTTTATCTTCTATTAATGAAATTCCCAAAAGAGATATCCAAATTAAAATTAGCAGTCAAGGGTTAGGTCAATGTACGCGTGGACAGATGTCAGCACTGAAAATAGTTTCTCAGAATTACCTTAGACAAACTTTTTTTTTCTCAAGATAACTAGACATTAAAGGTGAAAGAAATTGAAATACAAAAATATACTTGTATTTATTGCCTGATGGGGTTGTTGAACTTTCCGCTTCAACGTTATAGAGCCATCATCACATATATATGTCTGCTGTTGAATTAACCTAGATACGCCTCCGTCCCCCCCTACCCGATCATGATGCCCCCCCCCCCCCCCCCGTACGCATGTCAGCTGTTGAACTATCCGCCTTTCACCATCAGCAATGGTCGGGTCTAAAGCAGGAAGCCTTCAGATAACCGGAAGGGCAAGCTGACCAATGGAAAAGTCGAGCAACGCGTGGACACGGCTACGTCAGAGGTTTCTGGACAGTGACGTCAGATGTGGGCGGCGAGGTAGGACTGGAAATAGAAGGGTCGTGAGGGGGGGGGGGGGGGTCTTAAAGTAGACTGTAGTTTTCTGGGCGGGGAGGGGGAAAACAGGTTAAGGTGGATTGGAATACGCTGGATTGAGATAAAAAGAGAAGTTTAAAATAGATTGGAGTTTGCTGGACGTCGCGAGGACAAGGAGGTTAAGATGGACTGAACTGAATTGCCAGTAGTTGCCACTTGTAAATTAAGTCTTTATTCAAATTAACTCACATTCAAGTGCTTACCCTCAGATTATTTATTTGATTTTTTAAAGAATTTGTTTGTCTCTGTCGAAACAATATCGTGCCGCTAACTCTTTTTTTTTCAATTCTTTGAAATTAAACATTTTGATTGCATACACACAATCTTACAACATATATAAGTTCAATCTGTTGTCAAATTAAAAAAAAACTATAGACAAACACATCAAGGAAGGACATCAATGTATTGTAATAATGCAATATTTTGCGACCTCGAAACTAAATCTTTAAAGTTATCGATTCTATTATGTAATCTAATCTAATAAAAGCCAACAATTGAATTGACACAATAATAAACAATACAATAAAATCAAATGCTTATATGTGACGAATCATCCTTTCCGAATAGCTGCTTTAGGCAACAAAGGACCCCACTAGACTTATCGCCAAATTGTTGATTCTTACCATTAGAAGGCTGTTTACAATCGCCAAAGGGACATAGGGGTTATGTCCATGGGGTTATGTCCATGAATGTCCATGGGGGTTATGTCCATGGGGGGGGGGTTATGTCCATGAATGTCCATGGGGGGGTTATGTCTATGAATGTCTATGGGGGTTATGTCCATGGGGTTATGTCCATAAGGGTTATGGTTGATTCTGACCATAAAAAGGCTGTTTACAACTATCAAAATCCTAAAATTCTAACACACCCTCTCCGCCTACATGTTATGTATTTATATGTCCATTCCTCACATAAACAAATTCGGGTTAAAAAGTTTTAACACAACAACTAGTTCATTCCCACATCGTTAGCTTCTCAGATTAGAGCTAATGAAACAAGACTTGTGGCTAGTCCGGTTCAGATTAACGATAGAACATGTTAATCGTGTTTCAGATTACGGCATATTTCAATATATTTTAGCTGTCCTCTGCTTCGACCAATTCAACTAACGACATAAATTAATTGATTCTTTCATCCCACTCTGAGCGTGAAGTATAAACAATACCAACTTTATCGATGAGCCACTGGTGACGATAAGTAAAAATAGCCTCGGTAACATTAGCATTCTTAGTCAACAAAATAAACCCAGTAGTAAATTATTGAGCCTTTTGAAAATCTTTGAAACAAACAAAATTATAACTCAAAAAGATCTTTATAATATGCTTTTACATGCATTAAGGATTTATAAAGTCTTGTCTTTACATCAAACTGTAACATTAAAATCATTGGCTGCTAAAATAAATTCAAAGATTTCGCAAATACAAAAAACTTTGATTTTACAATTAATATATGATGACAATTGTGTTTCATGTTTTTAGCGCTGTTAAAAGCGTATTGTTAATATAATAATGGTTACACAAATTAATTTTAATTTCTTCTTTTTAGTCTATATATTATATTGTATAGATGTAAGAGAAGGTCCATCCGTAAATTTTATAATAAATTAGTTTCATATTTTTTCTTTCATTCTGTCCTTTTTTACTTTTACCTCTATGGAATAGGGAATATATGGAATATACATGGAATATATATGGAATATTGCGGAGAAGTATTGTGATCGGGAAGAAAATCGACACAAAAGATGTTGTCACAAACATATCTGCCATTGCTAGGCCCCGATTTCAGCGCCACACCCACCATTCATTGTTGTATACGTAGATAATAGTAGCTTTAAGGGAGCTAACTCCCGCTGTATTAATAAAGACGACCCCCCCCCCCCACACACACACAACTAAACAAAATATTTGCTTTAAAAGGCGATCAGTCACCCCAAACGACAGTTATCTGCCCCTAATTAGACTCCTGGTCGGATTTCTTAAGTGAAAACATCTGTGACCCCGTTCAATGGATTAATCGAGTGTCACTATTAATTAATCGAGTTTTCTCCCCTTTTTTAAATATAGTAATCTTAAGACAAAATTTAGTAACTGTTTTAATGTCTAATTATATTGTATAAATATTTGAAAGGATTAGGATTGACATAAAACAACTTCTCTTATATTAAAAGTTATATTATTTCGGATGTAGCAGGAAAGTATACAGGTAAATATTTACGCCCAGCCGACCAACTAATTAATGTGTTTATCCGAGTTTGTTTTCGCTCAATTTACAGGCGACTGTCTTGGTTGTGTATACTGCGAGAATACCGCGTGAATACCGCGAGAATACCGCGAGAATACCGCGTGAATGCCACGAGAATACCGCGAGAATACCACGAGAATACAGCGAGAATACCGCGAGAATACCACGAGAATACCACGAGAATACCACGAGAATACCGCGAGAATACCACGAGAATACCACGAGTATAACACGAGAATACCACGAGAATACCACGAGAATACCACGAGAATACCACGAGAATACCACGAGACCAACTATCGAAAAAAACCAAAGTGACTGACAGTTTTATCTTTGATTCCATCCACAGGTCATCTGGTGACGCTCCTGGAGAACGTGGTGGGTAACGCCAGCGTCGTCACCATCCTGGCCATCAGCGTGGAGCGCCACCGTGTGGCCTACCGCTCCACCACCACCACCGCCAGTATATGCACTGTGTTCAAATCCTTCCTTGCCATCTGGCTAACCTCGTTCGCTGGAGCCTTACCATTTTTGTTCATCACCGAGTTTAAAAACGCAGAGTACATTGACGGTAAGTGTATATATATATATATATATATATATATATATATATATATATATATATATATATATATATATATATATATATATATATAATGTTTTTGTTTTGTTTTATTATTTCAAGATATTAGTTTCTATCACTTTTCTGGGGTTAATACTTAACCATATGTTATTACCATGTAATTCATCATCATCTTTTCCAGTTCGTGCCCAAGACACATGGGATAGATAAAGTAGAGCTAATCTATTTCATGGAATTCGGCTAATGAAGGGAAAGTGTGGTCAGCACTATGCCCAGCCGCCTTTACTTTCCCTAACGCAAGTCAGGTACCCATCATAGCTGGGCTGACTCAGGGACAATCTACAGACTTGAACCCGGATTCGAATTCGAGACTTTCGGATTAGCAGTCTAGCTCTCCACCGCTAGACCACACCGTCCCCAACCATGTAATTAAGATTCTGTTATGACCATGGAACATTTAACCCATCTCTTGTTCCCGTCACGCAGGTACTCGTGTGTCACGCTGCGTGACAGAGATTAACCAAACGTGGCAGAAAGTCTACGCTGTCTTTGGAAACTGGTTCTTCTTCATCATGCCTTTATTTATTATTCTATTTTTATACACCAAGGTCAGTCACTCACTGTCATACCATTAGCTAGATTAATTTGTCACACGCACACACACAAGCACACACACACACGCACACACACACCAATTTTAAAGTTACATGAAACTGATGTTTTAAAATTGCAGATTTACATGAAACTGATGTTTTAAAATTGCAGGTGTACATGAAACTGATGTTTTCAAATTTGCAGGTGTACATGAAACTGATGTTTTAAAATTGCAGGTGTACATGAAACTGATGTTTTAAAATTGCAGGTGTACATGAAACTGATGTTTTAAAATTGCAGGTGTACATAAAACTGATGTTTTAAAATTGCAGGTGTACATGAAACTGATATTTTAAAATTGCAGGTGTACATGAAACTGATGTTTTAAAATCGCAGGTGTACATGAAACTGATGTTTTAAAATTGCAGGTGTACATGAAACTGATGTTTTAAAATTGCAGGTGTACATGAAACTGATGCTGCTGTTTAAGAGAGAACACGAGAAATCCCTCAACTACCCGCGGGAGATCGTTCGACTCAAGCGACAGATGACCCAGATCATCATCACCGTCGTTCTCGTCTTTTTTATATGTCACACACCTTACAGGTCAGCTATGTCACACGCCTTACAGGTGAGCTAGGTCACACCTTACAGGTGATCTATTTCACACCTTACAGGTGAGCTATGTCACACCTTACAGGTGAGCTATGTCACACGCCTTACAGGTGAGCTAGGTCACACCTTACAGGTGATCTATTTCACACCTTACAGGTGAGCTATGTCACACCTTACAGGTGAGCTAGGTCACACCTTACAGGTGATCTATTTCACACCTTACAGGTGAGCTATGTCACACCTTACAGGTGAGCTATGTCACACGCCTTACAGGTGAGCTAGGTCACACCTTACAGGTGATCTATTTCACACCTTACAGGTGAGCTATGTCACACCTTACAGGTGAGCTATGTCACACCTTACAGGTGAGTTATGCTACACACCTTACAGGTGAGTTATGTCACACACCTTACAGGTGAGTTATGCTACACACCTTACAGGTGAGCGATGTGTCACACCTTACAGGTGAGCTATGTCACACCTTACAGGTGAGCTAGGTCACACCTTACAGGTGATCTATTTCACACCTTACAGGTGAGCTATGTCACACCTTACAGGTGAGCTATGTCACACCTTACAGGTGAGTTATGTCACACCTTACAGGCGAGTTATGTCACACACCTTACAGGTGAGTTATGTCACACACCTTACAGGTGAGCTATGTCACACCTTACAGGTGAGTTATGTCACACACCTTACATGTGAGCTATGTCACACACCTTACAGGTGAGTTATGCTACACACCTTACAGGTGAGCTATGTGTCACACCTTACAGGTGAGCTATGTCACACCTTATAGGCGAGTTACGTCACACACTTTACAGGTGAGCTATGTCACACACCTTACAAGTGAGCTATGTCACACCTTATAGGCGAGTTATGTCACACACCTTACAGGTGAGCTATGTTACACACCTTACAGGTGAGCTATGTCACACCTTACAGGTGAGCTATGTCACACCTTACAGGTGAGCTATGTCACACCTTACAGGTGAGCTATGTCACACCTTATAGGCGAGTTATGTCACACACCTTACAGGTGAGCTATGTTACACACCTTACAGGTGAGCTATGTCACACCTTACAGGTGAGCTATGTCACACCTTACAGGTGAGCTATGTCACACCTTACAGGGGAGCTATGTCACACACCTTACAGGTGAGCTATGTCACACCTTACAGGTGAGTTATGTCACACCTTACAGGTGAACTATGTCACACACCTTACAGGTGAGTTATGTCACACACCTTACATGTGAGCTATGTCACACCTTACAGGTGAGTTATGTCACACCTTACAGTTGAGCTATGTCACACCTTACAGGTGAGTTATGTCACACCTTACAGGTGAGTTATGTCACACACCTTACAGGTGAGTTATGCTACACACCTTACAGGTGAGCTATGTGTCACACCTTACAGGTGAGCTATGTCACACCTTATAGGCGAGTTACGTCACACACTTTACAGGTGAGCTATGTCACACACCTTACAGGTGAGCTATGTCACACCTTATAGGCGAGTTATGTCACACACCTTACAGGTGAGCTATGTTACACACCTTACAGGTGAGCTATGTCACACCTTACAGGGGAGCTATGTCACACACCTTACAGGTGAGCTATGTCACACCTTACAGGTGAGTTATGTCACACCTTACAGGTGAACTATGTCACACACCTTACAGGTGAGTTATGTCACACACCTTACATGTGAGCTATGTCACACCTTACAGGTGAGTTATGTCACACCTTACAGTTGAGCTATGTCACACCTTACAGGTGAGTTATGTCACACCTTACAGGTGAGTTATGTCACACACCTTACAGGTGAGTTATGTCACACACCTTACATGTGAGCTATGTCACACACCTTACAGGTGAGTTATGCTACACACCTTACAGGTGAGCTATGTGTCACACCTTACAGGTGAGCTATGTCACACCTTATAGGCGAGTTACGTCACACACTTTACAGGTGAGCTATGTCACACACCTTACAGGTGAGCTATGTCACACCTTATAGGCGAGTTATGTCACACACCTTACAGGTGAGCTATGTTACACACCTTACAGGTGAGCTATGTCACACCTTACAGGTGAGCTATGTCACACCTTACAGGTGAGCTATGTCACACCTTACAGGTGAGTTATGTCACACCTTATAGGCGAGTTATGTCACACACCTTACAGGTGAGCTATGTTACACACCTTACAGGTGAGCTATGTCACACCTTACAGGTGAGCTATGTCACACCTTACAGGTGAGCTATGTCACACCTTACAGGGGAGCTATGTCACACACCTTACAGGTGAGCTATGTCACACCTTACAGGTGAGTTATGTCACACCTTACAGGTGAGTTATGTCACACACCTTACAGGTGAGCTATGTCACACACCTTACAGATGAGCTATGTCACACCTTACAGGTGAGTTATGTCACACCTTACAGGTGAGTTATGTCACACACCTTACAGGTGAGCTATGTCACACCTTACAGGTGAGTTATGTCACACACCTTACAGGTGAGCTATGTCACACCTTACAGGTGAGCTATGCTACACACCTTACATGTGAGCTATGTCACACCTTACAGGTGAGCTATGTCACACCTTACAGGTGAGTTATGTCACACACCTTACATGTGAGCTATGTCATACCTTATAGGTGAGCTATGTCACCCACCCACCAGGTAATCTATACCACACACCTTTAATGTGAGCTATGTCACACACCATACAAGTATTCTGTCCTTTAGACGACGCTATTTCTATGTGTCACACTGACATGTGTATGTCACACACCTAACAGGTGAGATGTCCTCTAGACCTTGACATGTCATTTGTTTATTACAAAGCCGCTTCACTCCCTTACCCCAATCTTCCATAAATAACCCAATACCATAACATTATAAATCACACGTAAACCTCTAGAACAAAAAGGGGCAATAATTCACATCTCAACTATAGTTACCTCTCTTTGTTTAGTAACTAAATATTGCAGTTAACGGGAACTCTCGTCTACGGCTGAACATGTATTAGTTTAATACTACGAGTACTCTTGTATTCCGTCCAGCATTAAATACACAGACAATACAGACAGACAGATCAATCTTGTTACGTAATAGACTTCAGATGACCTTGATGAAATACACTTTTAAAGGAGACCAGCGAATCTCAAAATATTGATTGTTTTAACAGCGTATCTAAAAAAATTGAATAACTAGCGGAACTTGACTTGCTAATGTTCTCCTTACCTCAAAAAAAAAAAATGCACGGGGTGGTTATGTTCAGCGCTTTTATATCGATGGAGGTAATGTAGATGGTGGTCAAGTCTGTGGGGGTTATGTCCATGGGGGTTATGTCCATGGGGGTTATGTCCATAAATGTCCATGTGGGTTACGTCCATGGGGGTTATGTCCATAAATGTCCATGGGGGTTATGTCCATAGGGGTATGTCCATGAATGTCCATGGGGTTTATGTCCATGAATGTCCATGGCAGTTATGTCCATGGGGGTTATGTCCATGGGGGTTATGTCAATGCGGGTCATGTCCATGGGGGTTATGTCAATGCGGGTCATGTCCATGGGGGTTATGTCCATGGGGGTTATGTCAATGCGGGTCATGTCCATGGGGGTTATGTCAATGGGGCTTATGTCCATGGGGGTTACGTCCATGGGGGTTATGTCTATGGGGGTTATGTCCATGAAGGTTATTTCCATGGGGGTTATGTCCATGGGGGTTATGTCCATGGGGGTTATGTCTATGGGGGTTATGTCCATGAAGGTTATTTCCATGGGGGTTATGTCTATGGGGGTTATGTCCATGAGGGTTATTTCCATGAGGGTTATTTCCATGGGGGTTATTTCCATGGGGGTTATGTCTATGGGGGTTATGTCCATGAGGGTTATTTCCATGAGGGTTATTTCCATGGGGGTTACGTCCATGTGGGTTACGTCCATGGGGTTATGTCCATAAATGTCCATGGGGGGTTATGTCCGAGAAGGTTAAGCCCAGCGGGGTATTGTCCAGGGTTTTTATCTCGGGCCCATTAAGAAATTTTACAAATGTTTTCCCGTTAGTTTTAACGAAGGTAATGTATTGACACTGCAGTCATACCAGCTAGGCACAGAAACAACTGGGACCAAGGTGAAGGTCAGGATCAGATGAGAGCAGTAGCAAGCCTGAGTTATATAAACACCACGATTTGTTTCCCTTGATGTATGCGGTTGATTTGGACCGATTCACACTATGAAGTTAATAATAAACCAAATAATGTTGAGATTTTTTAATTAGGCAAACATCGCGCAGTGAAGCAAATAAAAAAATATTGTTCTATGTTTCTCAAGACTTGAGTCATCGCACAATTTCTCGCTCATCTTTTCTTTTCTCCTACTTTTCATTTATAACTGTGCAAACATTATCTCTTTTTTCCCCACAATTTTTTTTTCTATTTTGTCTTTAATATTTAATTGATATTCTATTAAAATGTTGTTAATTTTTTTTAACGGCCAATGTGAAAAAAATGCTTCTGTGCAACTATTGTTACAGTTATAAAATAAGGATTACTCTTCTTGTTGTTAATAATAAATGTGTGGTTTATGTCTGATCTTCTTTGTGTGGTTCTGTTTGTCTGGTGTGATCTTCAATGTGAGGTTGTGTTTATCTGACGTGATCTTCTTTATGTGGTTGTGTTTATCTAACGTGATCTTCAAATGTGTGGTTGTGTTTATCTGACGTGATCTTCAATGTGAGGTTGTGTTTATCTGACGTGATCTTCAATTTGTGGTTGTGTTTATCTGACGTGATCTTCAATGTATGGTTGTGTTTATCTGACGTGATCTTCAATGTGTGGTTTATTTATCTGACGTGATCTTCAATGTATGGTTGTGTTTATCTGACGTGATCTTCAATGTATGGTTGTGTTTATCTGACGTGATCTTCAATGTATGGTTGTGTTTATCTGACGTAACATTTAACGTGTGGTTGTGTCTGACGTGACCTTCAACGTGTGGTTGTGTCTGTCTAACAGAACGATTGCGCTGTGGAGCATGTTCACCATTGAAGCAGGCGGGATGGACAACAACAGTTTTCTCACCATGATCTACATGACCCGCATCCTCATGTACTCCAATCATGCAATCAATCCTTTTGTTTACAACTTTGTTTCCAGGTAAGATAAAATGGCACTTGTTTTTCTGATGATAAACTTTTTCAATTTCCTCCTGGGAAAAAATATTTTCCATTTAAATATTATAATAATTGCAATGCATATGCACTTTGGTATCTGTTTTTAGGTCAGTTCATATATGCATTAGGGAAAAATCTCCTTTACAAAAAAAAAAAAAAAAAAAAAAAAAAAAAAAAAATTTTATAAATAAATAATATCGTATGGTTTCCCTCAAAATGTCACCATACAAATGATTAAAAACACAAATTAGAAATGTTTCCTTTAATAAACCCAGCGAAAATTATACAAGCCTTTACATTTTTTCAAAAAAAAAAAATATCATTGTTGTAATTTCTAAAAAATTAAAGCTATTCTTTTCCCTTAAAAATGTCCTTGCGTAAATGTAAACGTCCGTCGATTCTTCCTTCCAGAAAATTCCGTCGCGCACTGCTCTGGCTATGCTGCGAGAGACGACGGAGAAACGCGAGACTTGAGGAGTGGAAGGACTTGGTCAACAACAGACAGCCAATCAGGTAACACGGGAACTACGGGGAACTATGGGATTACAGGGAACTATGGGAACTAAGGGGGAACTGGGAACTAAGGGGTTACACGGAACTACGGGGAACTATGGGATCACAGGGAACTATGGGAACTATGGGGAAACTGGGAACCAAGGGAAATAAGGGATCTCAGGGAGCTATGGGAACACAGGAACTACAGGGAACTACGGGAACTAAGGGGTTACACGGAACTACGGGAACTACGGGAAACAATGGGAAAACAGGAAACTAAGGGATCATAGGAACTACATGGAACTATGCAACACAGAGAGCTGTGGGAACACATCTAACTCATGAACGAAAGGGAACTATGGGAACACATGAACTACAGGGAACACAAATAACTGGATACACCGAAACTATGAGAACGGAACATTTTTAAAACTGTCGCTGGTTTCCTATGCGATCTATCAGAGTAGAAGTAAGGGATATAATGGCTACAGGACATTAACTCCCCCCCCCCCCCCGGCAAGTACCCCCGGACATATCCCCCCCGTATTTATCCACCGGAGCAATTACTCCCTGTCGATTATCCCCCCCCCCACCCCCCTCAAATTACCTTAAGAAAAATACCAAAGCCTAAGTATTTACCTCAGCCTAAAACTTAACACAAAACCAACTCTAGACAATGGTTTAAGCCTAACCTTGACCATAACACTAACCCTAATCCTAGTAATGTCCTACTGGGCAGTGGGGGGTAATTGACAGGTGGTATTTACTCCGGGGGTAATGTGGAAGGGGGAATGTCCGGGGGGAATTGACGGAGGGGGGTAATGCCCTGTTCCCAGATATGATAGTAGAGATGCCATCTAGTCACGTGATGCGGGTAATATGTCAGCAAGTACAGATGTCATATAGTCACGTAGTTTGTGCTTGTCCTTGATTCTCACCCAGACCTTGTTTTTAATTAGCAAAAAAAAATTAATTAGAAAAAAAAAATTCGACACGAATCACATGATGCAATCTAATCACAAACGTAAACATAGTTCACCTTTTTAAAAATTAAATCACAAAGTAAACATTGTTCACCTTCTTAAAATTTAATTAAAATGTAAGATAAAGAGGGAAAAAAGAACGATGGAATTTTTTCCTTTAAGTTTCAAGTATCTGAAACACTAAGAAAGATGTAATTATTGAACTGCTGAATGGAACGAGCGCACACTGAATAAAGAACGATGGGCGGCCTGAAAAATGAGCGCGTTAAAAGCGTGTTTCCCGCCAAGATGGCGTCTCAGAGTTCAGATACAAATTGTTTCTGGCATGGAGTTTCCTCGTTTCTCCCTCCCTCCCCTTCGCTCCCTCCCCGCCCCCTTGTGTTTTTGAGTAAATAAAATGTTGAATAGTGCACAACAATAGAAGCCAAAGAAACATGCACAATAACCTAATTTTCATAAAGGTAAACAGCTTTTATAGTTCTCTCGGGGAGCCAGAAAAAGATGCTCTGATGAGTGTTAAATTAGTAGTTTCTTTGGTCTGGTTATAAATGGATTAAACTAGTAGGTAATGCGCTCTGGCTATAAATGTATTAAAGTACTAGTTTATTTAGTCTAGCTGTAAATTATTGAACTAACAGATGATAAGATCTGGCTGTATAATAATTATATGGTCTGGTGGAAAATGTATTAAACTGGTACGCGACAGAGGCGTAGCGACCCTTCCCGGCGCCCGGGGACAAACTTTCAATTTGGCGCCCCCCCCCCCCTCGAGAGCAAACTTTCGATTTGCATCCCCCCCCCCAGCTTTTCGATTTGCACACCCCCCCCCCCTCAAACTTCCGATTTGCCCCCCCCCCCCCCCCCTCAAACTGCGAAAATGCAGCTAAAATGACATTTTAATTTGTTTTTACAACCCATTTTGGCGCCCCTAAAGTCGGCGCCCGGGGCCATAAGCCCCCCCCCCCCCATCGCTACGCCTCTGGTATGCGATAATGTCTAGTTCTGACGTCGTACTATGTTAATCTCCCCTCCAACTAACGACGCTTTTCTTCATAACACGCGAGATCCAGATCTCTAGAATCTAGCCTCAAATCCACCCCCCCCCCCCCCCACCCCAACATAACCACTATTCCAACAGACTTGTTGTGCTACTTCACATTCCCTAACGTTGTATCTCACGTTCTGCTAGTATTTATGCTAAATTCTGTTTGTGTTTACGTCTTAACTAGTTATGTATTTGTTTAACTACGTCATTATTTTTTAAAAACAAAATTGTCCTTGACCTTCCAGGATGGACTCGATCCGCCAACAGCGCCAGAGCACAGCAGCACGCCTGTACGACATCGACAACAACATCCGCGACAAGGAGCGGGAGGAGCAGGAGGCCATGGACAGACAGAGCCACTTCCAGCGGAACGACTTCCTCGTGCTGTACGAGCATCTGCTGCTCGAGTGACTAGCGAACCGGTCTAGACAGTGGGGTTCTAAGCTCAGGGCGGCCAGTGTGTAGGGGAGGGGTGTAAGCTCAGGGCTGCCAGTGTGTAGGTGTTGGGGGTGGGGGGTTCTAAGCTCAGGGCTGCCAGTGTGTAGGTGGTGGGGGTGGGGGGTTCTAAGCTCAGGGCTGCCAGTGTATAGGGGGTGGGGGTGGGGGGTTCTAAGCTCAGGGCTGCCAGTGTGTAGGTGGTGGGGGTGGGGGGTTCTAAGCTCAGGGCTACCAGTGTGTAGGGGGTGGGGGTGGGGGGTTCTAAGCTCAGGGCTGCTAGTGTGTAGGGAGGGGGGTTGGGGGGTGGTCTAAGCTTAGGGCTGCCAGTCTGTAGGTGGGGTGGAGGGGTGGGGGTAATGTTTTAACCTTAGGGCTGCTAGTGTATAGGTGGGTTGGTGGAGTGGTGAGGGGGGTTCTAGTTTATTGGTGGGGGGTATAAGCTGAAGGCGATCATTGTATAGGTGTGGATGGGATTCTAGGCTTAGGGCTACTAGTCTATAAGTTGGCAAGGGGGGTTCCAAGTTCCAAGTGTATTAATGGGGGATGGATGAGAGGAGGGGTGTGGGATGATAGAGGTAAGGGGTGTAAGGGGCGCTGAAAGAGTATAAGAGATAGGTTGTGTATTGAGGGTTACCTGTGTTAGTGGAGGGTTGAAAGGGTGAGAGTGTGATCGTGCTACGTCAGTTAAATTGTATATGATGAGGGGTGTGACAGTGTGTGGTTTAAAAGTCATGACAAACAATAGATACAACCAGGACCTGATGAACCTTTAAGACTAGATGGTGAAACAGCCTAGTTTTGTGCCACACCAAACATACACGCCAGTAGACAGTTATAACTTACTAAAATGTCCTGGCTGTTGGTATAAATTCACATCTGGTTGAAAGTAGATGTTGACATTACACATTTAATCACAATCATTTTTAATATATTTGACTTAACTATATACTATAGCAGCTATGAAAGATGAAATACCTAGAATTAATTAATAGCCCTTAAGATGTTATAAATTTGGTAGAAATTTCAGTAGTAAATTGCTTACGCATCATTTCAAGTATCAGTTTTGACCACATATATTTGTGATGATAATTAGATCTTTCAGTCTTGGCACAATTTCCATTTAATCAAACACATAATTCTATTTAAGTATTGTACAAAAACACTTCTTTTTATTTAAAAGGTTATGTTTTAGATTACGTTTAACCAGCCAGTAACCCATCCAACTTTCTAACAATCACTTGATAGTTCATTACGTCATAGCATTAATACCTACATTGCAATCTGCTACTAAACCATTCACTTTTGTCATTACAACAAGTAGATTAGCTTAGGCAAGCTTTGTAGTGTCATCATTGATGTCAGTTGATTGTTGATTGACTGTTTTTTTGCCACATTACAACACGTAGCGACATTTTAAGATCAGCTGTAGTCACGTCTGGTAGTTTTATCATTGATTTCAGTTGATTGTTTGTTTGTTTGTTTGTTTGTTTGTTTTTTCGGCACATTTTTCGTGAACCCCACCTAGGCCGGTTCAACGAATTTGTTCCCAATTTCATTGGATTTGTTCGCTGTTGTTTTTAATTATCTTAATTAAGAGGACACCTCTTTAATGACATGTTAACACATGCGGCAAGTATGAAGTATAATAATATTTGGAGCTTTGAAACAGAGTTAGGATTTGGAAGTGTAACGATGTCCAAATTCGGAGCTGTAAAACTGTTAGAATTTGGAAATGTGAAACAATGTTAAGATTTGGAGCTGTTTAGGATTCGGAGCTGTAATATAGTGTTAACATTAGGAGATGTAAAGCAGTGTTAACATTAGGAGATGTAAAGCAGTTTTAAGATTAGAAGCAACGTATTAGAATGTGAACATTCCCAGGAAATAAACAGTGTTAAGATTAAGAGAAATGAAAGCCTTTTAGTTCGGCCTTAGAAGAAATCAACGGAAATCTCAACACTCTGCATTTCACCGGATACAGGTCACTACCAGCTGTTAAAAGAACCGGAAGTGCATGGTTAAATAGGTTTCCTGTTCTACCTGGGGCTAGTGCTGACCTGGATGAACTAGGCTGTTTACCTGCACCTTACAGGTCACACTTCCGGCGACCTTGACCAACCATCTTGCCTGTCAATTCTATGAAGTCCTGTTCTCTAAGCAATAGAACTGTCTCCATTTATGCAAATGTTGATAATCTCCTAACATATTTCGCTAACTTGCTTTTTCATTGCATAATTTTTATGTTAATTTAAAGCGCTTAATTTTTTTTTTCTGAATGAAATATTTTTTTAAAATTTAAATTTATTCAGCTTTTTTTTATCCTGTTCCAAATGTATTGATTTGTGTTTACTTTTTCTATAATGTTTGCTTCAAATCACGTGAAAACTAAAAGGCATTTTTCATGAATGGCTTGTTATCTATAATATTTAACGCATAAAATCCTAGCCTGTACATGATTACATTGCTTACATATTCACGATCTAACTTTTCTAATTATTAGAAATTACATCAGAAAACCTGTGTAAATCACAGCGAAATTCAATGTAGTATTTTTGTGTGACCATCCTGAGAAATTTACTTGCAGATGTTTGTTATATAATTACAATACATATATAATTCATTCTGCATGCATTGAAATTCTCCAACCAAATGTTTACAGGCTTGCGCCAATCGTTGGATACACATTTTAAAATGTAACGAGCCGGCCCGCGGCATAACATACGCCGCTATTTAGTTGTTTCTAATTTTCAATAATTCATAATTTGTGAATTCGACAGTACCAACGCTGACACTGAAAATATTTCTTTAAAACACTATAAGTAGCTCGTTAAGGACCATAACCCCCCCCCCCCTTCCTTCCCTCCCCCACTCCTCCCCCCCCCCCCCCCCCTACGTTTAAAATCGTTGGCTCTGCTTGTAAACATTTAGAGTGAACACAGCTCACTAAAACCATGTAGGGGTGGGGAGGTAGGGAGAGCGTTTGCAGCTTGTTTTCTAACGGCTCGAAGAAGAGAATTATATATATAGATATATATATATATATATATATATATATATATATATATATATATATATATATATATATATATATAAGTATGTATCGGAAATTCAAATATGTAATTAATGTCAAGGTCGCTAATTTTTAAATGTCTTGTTTTGTTTCTAGCGAGTATTTATTTTAGCCTAAACAAATCTCCAAACAGGTAAAATTACCTTGTGATTTTCTTGTCCGCCCACAGAAAGATAAATTATCTGTTGTTTTGTTTGTAATTTACTGTTTGTTCAAATTAATCGTTTTACGATCTAAATCCAATCGACTATTCCAGAAAAATGATTCCAATTACCGACGGACGAGATAAGTCTAAGACACAAAAAACTTTTGCTGGTTCTGGCTCGTACTCTAGAACCTTCCAAGTCAGCTGTTCTCAAACTTCTTGCACTGGACAAACGACTGCCTGACCCGAGGGTCGGTTTTTATTTCACGGGTGTGTGTGTGGGGGGGGGGGGTGTAGTCAGAACACATGACATTCTTCACCCAAATTTATGATCCCTCCACAGGACTGTCTAGACTGAAGCTATGGAAGACGGTAGCATTTAAAGCATTTCTACAACACAAAAAAAAAGAAAAAAAGAAAATTACTTTCTAGACTTTATGTAACAGAGGGCGTCTATTTAAAAAAAAAGTTTTATGATTAATTAAGCATTTGCGTTCATGATCGTCAAATTTTATGGGAACTCACCCGAGTGTCTGTGATGTAAAATTATACGGTACATTTTTATTCGAGGTAATACGCTGCAGAAGGGGAAGCTAATCTTGCCGTATTACTCTTTGATGATCGCACTTGTTAGTGGTGGGGTGGGGTTTGCTGGGGGGTGAAGTTCTCGTGTGCTGAAAGAAGCCCATGTTAACACGCCCTACATACCTGCCCTCCCCCCCCCCCCCCCCAACCCCCAGCCCCGCCCCTACTTTTTGTCATAACGACCTGTCGAACACATCCAAGACGAAAACAACATTAATTTCATAACTTAACAAATTTTAATGTTGTTTTTTTTTTTTAAAGAATAATATTGTTAAATGCCGTGTCAATGAATCATTAATTATAATGTTTTTTAAAATAACATTTGTCTTTTTTAACTTGAAGTGACTTAATTAACAAATGTAGCAAGATTTCTCAACAACTTAGATGGTGCTTCGCTCTAACGGAGATGGATATTTTACTTGAGGCAAAGTCGGGGGGGGGGAGGGGCTAATTGGGGGTAAGTACAATTTTAAATCCCCCCCCCCTCCTCCATTAAGTGAAAATGTTATCTTAATCTAATGTTGGGCAACATCGGATTGTTGAATTGTTTGTTCGCGTTTAAGTTTTAATTACAGTTTTTTATTCGTGAGGTTGTGAGTGTAGGCGAACGTCTGGGAAGTCAGCGCGAGCAGTTATCATTGTGCCTTGGGTGACATTAGCGAGACTACGTTTTTGTACACTTAATGTTTTCACGAGTTAGTTCAGGGGACGCCACTTACTTGTGATTTTGTTGAGTGAACCTGGAGTTTACAGGGAATTGGGAGTTGTTGACGACAACATTTATTTTACATTTGAACAAGCTACAAAAATATAGTTGATAAACTTTTTTTTAAAATTAATTATAAGAAAATATTTTCATATTCCCTTTTTTATAGGTCAGCGGAAGTAAGGAAGTCAAGTTCTTTATTGTAGAAAAGTTTAACTCTGTTATTTGTAGTGGTAGTGTTCATTTTTAGTTTTTTGTTTTTTTTTTTCTTTGTGTTATAGCAGCGAAGTTTAAATTCAGGCTACTTTAGAAGAGTTTAGATCTTGTAGTTGTTTATCTCTTTGAGAAAAAAAAATGTCGTTTATTAGAACCAGTGGGATCTGTTGTCTGGAATAGAATTACTGTTGAAAAACTCTTATTACTATAGATTATATCTGAAAACGTAATGATTTTTACAAGCTTTTATTTAACTCACTTCCTCTGTCGTCAGTCTGTCGAC